CCGATCCCTAAATCCACAACAAAGATACGTAAACAAAATTCCAAGCAAAATAAAGCAAGTGGCATGCAACATCATAAATATTTGCTTAGTATTCGCTTATTGGTTTAATAAATATTTTCTTCCTTTATATGTTTTACTACGACAAGTTGTAAAGAATTTCGATATTTTAAATATTTTGAAAATTATACAACCCATTTACATTATACAACTGGCTATTTATTCGACCACTCACAGCCAACCTGGTATCAAAAGCTTTTATTAATGCACTTGCCACGCTTCTGTGTGTGCTTTTGTTGTTTGACCCAATTTCTGGTCGTTTCTTGTAATTAATTAGCCGGCAACAAACACGAATGAACAACCCTCCCCAACTATACAGTTGCAACATGTGTAGGTGATTCAGTGTGTGGGGGAATGCCTGGCTGGGATTGCGTGTATCCTCCCTTGGGCGTGCTCCACAAATGATTATAATTCTAGGCAAATGTATTTTAGAGTGCATTTGACACAGCAAAAGAAATGCTACCAAATAGTTCTTCTTCGGATGTGTTTAGGGTGTGTATAGGTATGCAGACCCCAGGCAAAAGCACTGCTACAAATTTCCATAAGTTGTTGGCAAGTGAATCATAAAAATTCAATCGTAGCCGATTTGCTTATGGCTTTATTTCAGCATAACCTCCGATGGATAAAAGTTGAATTGATGGGAGAGTCATTCATAAATATAAGTGGAATATTAAATATTACAGGAAATGGGCTTCATTAACTGCAACGCGCGGTAGGTTGTCGCCTTCATTAATAAGTCACAGTTACGAGTTGTTTCCCTTGCCACCTTTGTGGTGATGGATAGTTTAATTTTGTAGATGGCCGGCTCAATGAAATATGTAATAATAAAATATAAAAAAAGAAACAATCGAACAATCGAACAATACTTGTAGACTACGTGCTGAATGTGTAAACGAACCAAATTTGATGATGCATGCCAGGCAATACAAAACTATATATAGTATATATGTATATGACACGTACATCCCAGACTTGGGAATCTAAATCGGCGAAGAATCGATAGTGCGTAATACGAAATTACATTTGGCATTAGCCAAAAGTTTTTTCTATATTTGCATTGTGTTTCCTTGAGGCGTGACGGGCGCCCATTTAAATGTCAAAGTTGCCGCCAAAATGTCAAAAGGGGCTACGCTCAGAAAACAGCAGAAACAGCAAACAAACAATCAACAAACAAAAATTCAAAGCTGACAGTAAATCAAAGCACAAATTGTGAATTGGACAGTGTGCTTCAAATTAGAATTAGCATTTTTGTTGAGTTTAATTTACGCTTGCGCGATTATGAAACTAGCACGCATGGGAATTCAATGTAGAGGAATGCACAGCTGGAAGATACCCTAGTTTAAAGGGGTCATAATACATGCAGTAGTCTTAATATAAAATAACTAAATAAATCGATAATAGAATATATAGAATTTGCTTAGGATAAGGAAATTTGATTCGGTTGCTATTGATATTTGCTATTGTCTATCTATCTATCAATTTTTCTATTTTCTATTGCCTTGTCTGTTGGATATATTTCAAAACATTTTATGCAGGGTATCGGAAACATTTTGTTTAGCTATAAATGAAGCTTAAAGTTGCGGTACTATTCGACTATTGTTCGAAAGTCTATTGTTGCATTTAAGTGGGCTTCATTTAATATAATTTAGGTATCCATTTTGAGGTGGGAGTGATAACAGCAGCGATTTTCATCATTTACAGTTGACCCGATTAATACTTGGGATAGGGGCGTTATTCGAAATGTACAATTTATAAGAAATAATCGAACGATCGGTCAATTTGTAATGCTAATCAAAGCTGTGCCGCACAGAGTGCCCAGATCACATAGATCATAAATTGGAGTGAATGTTAGTTGCATTATCTATTTTATTTTACTAATTTTCCTTTTTCTTTTTTTGCTGTGGCGTCTTTCCATTGATTTCCGTTTGAAATGTTACGCATAATTAAACGAGCCGCTTGTCATGCACCACGCTGTCTGGGGGCAAGCCCCAAAAAAAAAACATAGAGAAAAAAATGCAGCCAGCCAATTGACCCACTTAGTTGAACGAATCGACGTTGGCGCAGAGACAACCAATAACAACAACAACTAAAACAATAACAATAACAAAAACATTGCAACTGCAGTCGAGTGCAATTACTAAGCTACCCACAGAGGTGTGAAAAGATGTTTGGCAACCAGTTTGCCTATCTTAACACAAATAATCAAGAGTTTTTCTTTCCAAATACAAAACATAGACCGCTATTAAATAAAACAGAAATAAATACATAATTACACTTTGTTTTTTGACCCTATCGCATAATCATATTTCTAGTTTCATCTAGGTGCGCTTAATTACAAGCACAGAGCAGTTTCAGGGGAGTGGAGCTGGGCTCAGATTTAATTGTGTGTGTGTTGGTTGTGTGTGTTGTGCGTGTGTGTAATGCGTCATCATTATGCTGATTCAGTTTGTAGATTAGTGTTTATTTTTTGTGTATGTTTTTTTTTTATTATAAGCGCCAGTAACAATTTAATAGCTATTTGTGGCTTACCTCTGGCATTGTTTGCTTGCAGCGTAATCAGCTATATTTGGCCAGTAATGAAATACCCTGCATATGTTGGGTATACACGATGCAAATATTCTTAACTAGCTTACTTTAGATTTGTTTACCTGACCTTCATTTTACAGCGTACTCAGTAATTGAAATTTCTTCACTTTATTGTCTATATTCATCAGAATTCATATCTTTCGTCTCTCTTCTCGACCCTGTCCCTGTCCCTGTCTCTGTCACTGTCTCTGTTTACATCTTGTGTTTGGGCTAATCCATCTGTTCTTCACAGACTTTATTGATTAGCTCGTGTCAGGGCATTACATTTTCAGTTCATAAATTCTACTCGGTTTACTTAAGAATTGGCCTTCAAGCAGATTGTTAGCCTCCGCTCTGATAAATTGTTTTAAAATATGTATATTTGTTGGTGTATTTTTAAAAACATTTACTTGTGTAAGTTTGTATTTTGAAATTTTACATATGCTCTGTTTGAACATCTGCCCAGATCAGCTCAAGCCCAACCAGCACTCGTCATTGGCGCTCTGGGGGCGTAATCCCAGCTCTGACTGCGTCATCGCAGTTATTCACTCTGCTCTCTCTCGGTCTCTCTCTGTCTCTCTGGTTGGGTCGGTTGGTCTGCCGGTCTGTGGCTTTGGCTGTGGTGATGTAATTATACTGGCTGACAACTTTAACAACCGGTTTGAGCATTGTGTCCAACCGCCTGTTAAACACAACACAGCACATAAACATAAACATCATACAATTCAGACAGCTACAAATCTTGTGTGCGTTCTGCGCATTTGCATGGCGCTAACTTGTGATAAGACTAGCAGTTGCCCTATATCTTTTGTGCTTGTAGACATAGAAGATATTGGAAATCTATGGTATATACTGTATACTGTATACATATATAAATATAGATTAGTAGTACAAAATATAAATAAATACAAGTCTGAAGTTTCAAATCACTCATTACCCATTCGTTGAGTACAGGGTATGGAAGTTAACCACGGCATGTGTTTTCATATTACTTTCCATTTCCATTTGGGCGCACACAGTTACTTTATTGTCATCATCGTGAAGAGCTTCACTTAAGAGCCTGCTGCAAATTGCACTCGTATCATCGTCATATCAACTGCAGAAGCAGACGTTGCACTTTACGTGGGCGCAAGTCCAACTGCCTCCATTTCCGCATGAATTAAGTTATTATAAAAGCAATTTGTGGGGTTTAACGCACTGTGCGTATTTACTTAGGCGTTGCATTAAGCTCACTTTCCACTTTTCCCTCCCTCTCTCCTGTTGCAGCAGTTCCCATACCCCTGGTTGGATGCTTATCGCCGTCAACAGCAACTATTTTGCACTCTGTCAATGATTTAAGCGATAACATTGACAATTCCGTTGACAGTCAATTTAAATTTATGTCTAGGGCAGCCACAATATTATACATGCATAAATATTTCATTATTATTATTATTATTGATGCGGCAACCGCAAAGCGCAGCGGGTATTATGATTTGCTTATGAACGGTGGGTGAAGTCATTTTAAAATCAATAAAGTCTGTTAGATTGATGACGAATATGTGGAGAGTATGATCGTCAGACTTCTTCTCTCGTTGTTAATGCTTTTTTGATGAATATTTGATTGCAAGAAGCTGTAAGGAAACCTAAGCTGATTGGATGACCTACAATATCTATTGATTGTCTAAGAATTTGTATTCCCGGGAATGTATTTGTTGTTTACACTTGTTTCTTCACTTGGCTTCAATCGTTAAGCAGTCTTGAAAGGGCATTAAATCTTCTTCTATTCAGAAGAGCATCTGTTTACTCTTGTGATTACACACAATTACACTGATATTTTATTTCAGTTCAACGGTGCGTATGAATGTCTGTGGCTTCAATGGCCTATCGCCTATTGACACTTGTTTATTTTGTGACACCCCGTTAGCATTGTTTATGGTTGTGTTTTACATATCTATAACATTGTTTAATGTTTAAATAAATGTACTCACTGCACTACATACATATATATATATATATTTGTTTTTACTGTTCGACTCGAGCTGCTGAGAACTGGAGCAGTTTTCAATTGATTCTGTTGCTGTGTGCTGATGAAGCTGATTAGCATCGATGTACAATAGAGATGGAGTTGACAATATTGGAATATTGATCTGTAGTGTATATATTAGTCACACATTCTTGTTTACCTTGTTCACACTTGGTTGTGGTGACATTTGGTAACGTTGATATATTGTTTAACCACTGCACAAGGTGCAGCGGCTGCTGCCTGCTCAAAGTACTCATCGAATTATTCAAACTTTTTGTGCTCATGTTAATTTAGCAAGAAAGGAAATTGCTGCAATTGATGTCGTCATTTTTAGGATACCATTATTAATTTAAGAGTTTTTTTTCCATTGCAGATTCGAACGAAAAAAGTAGCTGATAAGCGTTCATTTGAAATAAATTTTGTATAACTAAACTGCAAGAATGGGCTTCAAAGGCGGCCACAGTCCGCGAATCAACAAAACGTTGATATCATTGAAGCTGGTCGTGTTCCTGATAATTAGTGGTAAGTACAGTGAATATGCCTTAAATGAGAAACACACATTACATATAATAATGATCCATTTATTTTGTGCAGGTCTCACAGCCTTGCATATTTTGCATGCCACAAAACCGTTGCTGTTGGGCTTGAACTTCTCCGAGTATCGCACAATTACAATTGTTGCACCCTTTGTCTCCATATTGGGTCCGTTGATAGCGGGTCCTTGGGCCGATCGTTTGGCTGCCAAGAATCCCAATGGCTTTGGACGCACCCTGCGCACATTGACAGCTGTTTTTCTGCTGCTGGCTGCATTGATTTATGCCTGTTTGTTTGCCGTACCGGATGTGGAAAGGGAACCGGTGCAGAAGCCACTGGTGAGCTTTGGCTGCGACGGCAATGGCGCCTATATATTCCAGAAACTGTGCACCAACGGCACCTGCCACAACTGGGAGCACAAGACGGGCAACCTGAACTTGACTCACTGCACCTACAGCTGCCTGAATCCCAATCTGCATGAGAATATGAATCAATTCTATTATTTTGAACAATTCACGGCAGCACCATCTACCGAACAGAGCTCTGAGTTCGATTATGAGGAGGATCCGGGCAGTGCAACCACCGAAAGACTCCGACCCAGGCGACAGCTCAACTTGGCATCGGACATATCAGCAGATAGTGCGGGTGTCGAGCTCATCAGCTCGGAAGTGGAGCGTACAAAACGACAGACAAAGAAGGGCATAGCAGAGAAATACAATGTGGGACCCCCACATTTGTGCATCACGGAGCGCAATGAGCAGGGCGAGGATATAGTGAAGAACTGTCATGTCTACACCTCGGATACAAGCAGCATTGTGATGCATGCCGATATGGGTGCTGCCATGGAGGAGCCAACAACCAACGAGACCGAAGGCTGGTGCCAGTATCCTTTGTGTAAGTTCTCGTACCAAATTAAATAAATAAATATATATAAAATATGTTTATCTTTGATCTTTACAGCGGGCATTCAGTGCAACATACCCGATGCGCAGGCGCAGCGTATCAAGAACCTGAAGAGGGGCACCAATTGCAAGCCGAGTGTTCAGTGTCTGATCCTTGATCCATACGATGGCAAGGACAGTGTTCTCGATGACAGTGAATGTGTCAGGGTGAGCAATCGACTACAGTTCGATTGAAATTCCTATTCTAATTGTGAATCTGCCATTTAGATGACTGGCAGTGTGGAGGACACTCTGATTGGTTATTGGATCATTCGTTTGCTGGGCGACATCTTCGCGCTGGCAGCTCTCACGCTACTCAATACCGCGATTGTGATTGCCGTGAGGGAGACATCGGAGGGTCGGGGTGAGGTGTGCCGCCAGTATGTTTGGGGTGCCATTGGCTATGTTATCCTATTCTCGCCGTTGGATCTGCTCTTCATGCAACAGCATCCCAATCAGGATGCCGCCTTGGCTGCCTTGATTGTGTTCATTGTTTGCTTTGTCCTGGGCGCTGTGGTGCTGCTCTGTGCCACCCAAATGCCGCTCAGTCCACCCGAGTGGTGGTGGCACACCAAGACCGGCATGTTGGTGGTGCCCATGTCTGCCATTCGTCGCTACAGCCCAGAGATTGTGGTGCTTACACTGGTCTCCATTTTGTTTGGCACCTTCTGGAGCAGCATTCACAGTTTCCTCTACTGGACATTCACCGATGTGAATGCCATTTGTTATTCGGGCATTATACTCATTCTGGTGCTCTTCTTCAACGTGGACCGGTTCATTGAGTATTGCGGACACTCGAACATATTCATTGCTGGCTTTGCCATCTTTGTGATTCGCTTCACGGCTCTGACTGATGCGCAAACGGATTGGCTGACTGTCATCATGGAGACCATTGAGCCGGCTGTCATTGGTCTGATCTGGATCACGATTATACTCTATATGCGCCATGCTATGCCTCGCAAATTGACTGCCACCGGTCAGGCCATCGCTGTGTTGGCCTTCTTTGGTTTAGGTAAGTGAATGTTAAGGCATTTCCATATATTATATTATTTATAACTCACGATTTATTCTAGGCAAGGGCTTTGGTGCCTTGATTGGCCTTGCCCGTGAGGAGAAGCACCACAAACTGGAGGATTGGACGTGCACCTATCAGTGGCTGGCGATCGTTGCCTGCGTTGTGTCGCTCGTCTATTTCGTGATCTATAATCTGATTTTGGCGCCACGCTGCACTGCCAAGCCACAGCATGCCGAGGAGCTGATCTCGGGCTCAGCGTCGCAGAACCTTGGCACAAATGGCACCACCAATGGACATGGTACAGGCACCGGGGCAGGGGGAGCGGGCGTTGGACCGGGTGCCGGTGCCTCATTAAATGGCACTGCCAATGGCAGCTATTCCCCGCTGCGTGTTTACCACAATGAGCGGGGGAAGAAGGGACAGTTTAGATACTAAATAATAGTTACCAGCTATGGCGATATGAGTTCTCCTTCTTTTTTAGATTTTCTGATTGTGTGTTGCGCACATATTTTATACCCCATTAAAGGGGATATTTTTGCTAAGTGTATACACAGAGAACAAAACAAAAACAAACAAAAATGCGAAAAGTGAGCTACTTTTTTCTAAAAAAAAAAAATAATCTGTATGGAACTTCTTTTATTTGTTATTTAATGCAAACTAAGCGTGTTCGTAATATTAATTTAATGTCTACAAACATAATTAGATAGGAAGCTGCCACTTCCCCTGCCCTCCGCCCCACTTCATGTCGATCTTTTTTTATGAGGTTTCATATTGAAGGCATCACAATTAAATATACCTTTGCGTGATTTTTACTAAGCATACGAATTGCATATATACCACTTACATACATAAATACAGACATGAATGTAACAATAAAAAAAGCAAAAAGCAGAAATGTAATTATACCAAAATAAAATTAATGATAATTTTATGTTTTGCAATTAAGTAAAAAAATACACGACGGAATTTCAATTTGAATGAGCTTTAAACACGGTTTCTTCCGCTCTTTTTAGAGGAAGATCTTCAATTTGAGTTGTCACTGGATTTCAGAGGAAAACACTGTGATGACATCACTCAATATGACAGTGACTGGTAATCAGAAAAGATGTTTGTGATTTTTACAAGATTTATAACATTGTAAGTAAGTATTGAGTGCACTATAGATCGCTTTAGGTAGAAAATTGAAATATTTTCCACTCATATGCTAATAGCGCCATCTATGTAAAGTCTTTAAAGATATATCGACAGGCAAAGCATATGCATGTGCCAGCGAAGACACAAACCAAGCAAGGAAAATCGAGCTTTCAGCAAATGCTGTCGTGTTGTAGTCATATTTCCCAAAACTGACACATTATGAATGACAGTTACTCAGCACTTGGAAATCCTCTGATGGACAGACGGGATAGACAGTTGGACAGCTGGACATATGAAGAGTTCAGCAGCTTGGCAGTATTGCCACTTGACCTTATAATAGTTGCCTGCTAATAGCTAAAAAGACCAGAGCGCAGCAACTCGATATTGCCCAATGGCTATCATGTGGCTCAAAGGCTAACGTTAAATGATAGTAAATAAACACCCCCCCCCCCCCCACACACACACACACACACATATATATACATCTATACACAGCCTCGCAAACACATACTCATATTCACACTTGGGTATTTACGTAAAAAGTGCGGATTTTATGCCACCGCACAGCGAAGCGAAACTTGCATTGGCTGCTTGAATTCGTCTGGGAGTCCTTCGTCTCAGAGTTGACATTACAAACACACACACACATCCTTAAGTAGAGTGCCTTTGTGTGCGTGTGTGTGTGTGTTTGGTGGTTTTGTGTGTATTGAAGTGTCTGTAAGCCACTTAAGACAGCGCGCATTTTATTAGTTTCTTTATTGATATTTTCACAGCAACACAATTATGAGTAGCTGCTTATATATATACATATATACATACATATGTGTATATACACATACGAGTGTGTGTGTAATATGTAGTCGCAGCGGGTGTGAAGTTTGCATCGACTTCATATTAAGCTCAACTCCCACTTGCACATCACTTCAACAACGATTTGAACAAAATGTTGCAATATCGCAAATAAGTTCAACAAAAAAGAAGTTCGGCTGACCGAAATGGTTTTGCTTAAGAAAATTCTATTTGATTGTGAACAAAGCTATGAAAGTGAAAAAACTTGACTCCTAAAATTATTCCCAAAAATGTGTGCATTAATCTAGAGGAGAAAACGTGGCAGGCATATTTTGAATTTAATCGAAAATAATAAAATAAAATACAAAAATAGAACATTTGAAATATAGAAAAATGTTAGTAATCCTCTGGCAAGTTGCGGACAAGTTAAGGATGTTAAAATTGATGAGCATAGAGCAGATTTTGAAAACACTTTAAAGAGTGTTGATTCTTAAAGCGTTGCATGTGTCAGAGCAGAGTCGTTAGCATGTTGTTGCTTGTTGTTGTCGGCACTGGGTTTGGCTCTGTCTCTGTGGCAGTCATGCAAATGATCAAAATAATTACATGAAGCGGCAGTTTCAGTATATTTCTCTCATGCTCGTTCCCGTTCCCGTTCCCGTTCCTGTTCTCGTTCTCGTTCTCGTTCCCATTCTTGTTTTTCTTGCACCACCCAGCGACTTACAAAAGACAAGCGCAGTCGCAACTTCAAAATGATGAAAATGAGTTTTCTTTACAAACAAAATTAAAAGTAAGCGCTGTGGCAAAACGAACGGGCCAGCAGCTTGATGGGGCAGCAGAGGGGTAGTGATGGGTGCATGGCGGTGGCGGTGGGTGGCAGCGCAGAGTGCGAGAAAATTGCACACCAAATCCAACGATGTGCAAAGTTATTTTTCACAAGTGCTTTGCAGCCAGCAACGCAACCTCCAGACCCTCAGTACCCCACTCACCCCACCCCTTTCCCCTCGCACACATCCAGACCGAATCCCTACGCCAACTCCAACTAGATCCCGGGTTTCTCTCCAGCTGCCTGTCGCCTGCATATGGAACCCTGTGGCCATGTGGTTGTGTGGATCTCAGTTAACTTATGGTTACTAGTCTGTGTGTGTTTGAGTGTGTGTGTGTGTGCATGTCGCCAATGTAACCAGAGGCACCACCCTCAAACCCTGCCCTAACCACTCCTTTACCATCATCCCAAACTACGTATTCCTATTTTTATGCTGTGCAAATTACAGCTATTTTTCATAGGGGCAAAAGCGCTCACAAAATGCAACAATGCTTCGACTATTCCACATCCTGTTCCTGCTCTGGCTCCTGCTCCACTCCGCTCTTGTTGTCTCTCTACTAGGTGCCAAGTGACAATAATTCCACTGTCAACCCAGCTTCCAGCTTCAGCTCGAGCTCCACCACTTCCGCCACTCTCAACCAGTCAAGACTTTTGTTTTTTTTCCGGCTCTGGCCTAATTGCCAAGACTGTGCCTGGCAGCCCAGCAAACCCAAAAACCCGAATAAAAATCTATATGAATGTTGTGGTTTGCATACGACATGTGTGCTCTTCCAAAATGTTTTAGTTAATTGACTTCAGCTTAAGCAAAATCATTTGTAAATACTTCAAGTTGTCATGGTTTAAGGATTTAGTTAAAGCTGCAGCGATTTTGATGTGGTAAACATTTCAACATTTATTCAGTTTCGTGCGATATTTTGTAGTGCACGTCTCAGATCGATTTGGGTTTAAGTTTTCCACTTCACAGTTTCGTCGATTGCTGCAAAATTTTCTCAAAAAAGAGCAAAAGAAAACCAAATTTTGGATTATGTTTTGATCCCAACATATTTTTGTTGCAATTTTTTTTTAAATTGTTCCCCTAACTTATTTATCATAATTTACTCCCTATTTTAATCATCGAAACTTTATATATTTTGCCGCTGGTAATTTTCACACATAACTGAACGCCATATTTCAAAGAGCTATGCAAATAATACAGATTTTATTGGGCTTAACTGTAAATGCGCCCCCAGCGTTGACCTTAGCACCCGCACGGTTTCTTTTGTGACTTATGGGGAGGGTCTAATGCAATAGAGTCTGAGTCGCCTCTCGCTTTTCACTATGACTATCTTTTTGTTTTGTTTTTTTTTGTGTGTTGTGTTTGGTATTATTTACTTTTGGTGGAGGGTTTTTCATTAAATTTAGCAGGCAGCAGGCAGCAAGCAGCAAGGTGCAGGGAGAAGAATTCAGGTGGCAGCCGTTGACAGCGGCCACGCCCCTCGGATGTCCTTTGTTGTGAGGCGTAAAACTTTGCTAATTACTGAGAAAATTTTCACAATGTGCAAGTTTGTTGTTGTTGTTGTTGTTTTACTTTGGGTGTGTTTGTTTTAGTTGCAAATAAGAAGCAAGCGTAGGAGCCAAAATGTGAACAAGAGTCGCCCGTATAAATAAATGTTTATATTCGTACATATGTCTGAAAATCACAAGGCCTCTCCGCTTTCAATTAATGGCGTTGATTCTTTAATTGTGTGTGAGGACATGTATAAGGAAGAAAGCAAGGTAAGCTGCTCTTAATTTGCAAAATTAATGAGAGGCCGCGCATCCTTTTTCTGGCCTTGTCAATGTCCATGTCAGTGAAACGATATTGCATGTCCATTTCATGTTATTTGTTTCTGCTTTTCATAAATTGCGAAATTAATTCGGCTGCTCGCTGCCAGCTCCCAATTAAGCGGATTGTAGGTGAATGTGAGGCTGCCGTCTGTCAGAAGCTTTTTGAAAGTCTGCATTGAATATTTAAAACTTAAGCTCAAATTGAAGCATGTGCTTTAATAAGTGGGAGAAGAAAATAAATGAATGACTCGATTTGTATTGGGAATCGACGATGCAGATAAAGACCTTCTGTTATTGAAGACGTCTCTCTTTCTTTGCTCTGCAAGCATACACAAAACATAACTTAAGTTATGTTTGAAATTGCGGTTCTACTTATTTTATTGCAATAATCCACAAACGCTTTTAAAACGTGTAAGCAATTGGTACTTTAAGCTTGGGCCAAAGTTCGCTTTTAGTAAACATTGCGCATACGCCGCATTGTGCGCGGTCAGCAGACGCACTCCGCCTCCTTATTAGCTGCGGGCAGCTGGCTGCTGCCCAGCCTCAAGTTTTTCGCTTGCCCGTGCAATTTTCATCGTCAAAGGATAAGCTGAGTGTATTTGTGTGTGTGTGTGTGGGTGTGGGCGTGGCAGTTGGTACGTCGCTTGCATTCAAAAGCGCACAAATCGCATTTTCTTGAGAGAAAATGTTGCTTCATTTGTGCAGATCGGCGAATTGTGTAGAAAAATGTCTGAAAGGATTTTTCATCTGTGTGTGTGTTTGTGTCTGTGTGTGTGCGCGCTGATAGCCCAGTAACAGAAAGCCAAAGGATGACAAGGATGAAGCAATAGCTGCAGCAAGGAGGTAAATTGCATGTGCAAAATTAAATAAAAGTGGAAAGCCATAAATGCAATTTGGCAGCAACTGCAACTGCAACTGCAACTCGAACTGCATCTGCAGATGGCTCAAGCCCTTTTAAGCATTGATAAAATCGACATCAATTGATTTCAGTCATTGTTTAGATGTAATGTATCCCCGGGGATAATACTACAACAAAAAAACACACACATACAGACATAAATATAAATATATAATAAATTCTTTGCTTGCTTGATTTTAAGTATGTGTGAAGGTATATTTGAATTATTTCGTGTAGTGCTTCGAGTGCATTATTTGATATTTACAATTTACTTCAATAAACCGCTTTGTGAAGCGCTGTTTGTCATCTGTTTGTCCTACTTTAAACATCCTCACACACAAGTTATTGCAAATTGATCATAATCAGCACACAGCCACCAGGAGTCCAACTGAACAAGCATTCTACCTATAACCACATCAATCACAAGCAGCAACAACAATAAATAGTTAATTCCAAAAGTCGAACAGTCTTTGCTGCTTTGCATACCCTCTAGCCACAAAATGG